AGGGTTCTATAAGGGTTTCGGGTTTAGGGGCTTTTGGGGAATCAGGGTTAAGGGAGTGAGGGTTTAGGGCTTAGGGGTTTTAGCGTTTAGGGTTTAGGGTTTAGGGTTTAGGGTGTAGGGTTTAGGGATTAGGGTTTAGGGTTTAGGGATTTTTAGGGTTGGGGTGTGGGGCTTGGGGGTTTAGGTTGGGGGTTTGGGTTCAGGGTTCAAGGTTTAGGGGGCTCTTGGGGCTTGGGGATCGTGGTTTATGGTCTCCAGTATGTAGTTTGGGCTTAGGGTACTGAAGAAGTCCAAATAATTGCCAAAGCCGGAAAGCCTCCTTACAATTCTTGCTTCCCCAATCAGCCAGGCAAATAAAAAAGGATGAATAGTAAAGTACAAGAGCCCAAGAAGTTTAAAGGTTGGGTTTTGGAGAACTGAGAATAATATAAGAAGATCCCTAAACCCTAAACCCTCAACCCCTAAACCGTTCCAGGGGCCAAGGCCCTCATGTTACCAGACCATGGGATTTCCTGGCTGTGGGCTGAGGAAGTTTCTTAGGGTTTAGGGTTTAGGGTTTAGGGTTTAGGGGCTTAACAGCACTTCCGAAACCCTTCAGTGTAGGGTATAGGGTTTAGGGTTCAGGGTTTAGGACAATAAACCTATGCCAGTGGGCACGATTTCCAGGACTTAGAGAATTTGGCTCAGAGACTAACACAGAGCAGTTTTTCTGCTAGGCGTCATAAGTTTCGGTCCAGAGTTATAGGGCTTATGGCTGGTGACTCTGGCTTTCGGAGTTAGGTCAGTATAGGGGCCTAAATAGTTACTAATACCATTTTGGGGGTTCCTTATTATAATTATACCATAAAGGACCCCAAAACCATATTCTAATTATTATATAAGGCCCCTATATTGGTGATCTAGGTTTTAGGGTGTGGGTACGGTTTACGATTGGAAGTTGGGGTTCAGGGGGTTGCGGGTTCAGGGCTCGTTGAAAGAGCAGTACAGGCGATGCCAATCGAGCATCGTAGCCGGCCCTCGGCTACCAGTACTCGGCATGCGTCACTTTGTAAAGTATAGCATAATGGTAACACTATCAATACTGTATGCCTTCCACTGAACAAAGACATGTATCGTGTGCGAGCATATATATATATATGTATGTATATATATATATATATATGTATGTATATATATATATATATATAGCAGTGTATATCTATATAAGTGTGTATACATATATAGCACTTGGAGTATGCTAGTTGGCGCATGTCACAGTCTTTTGTATATCATGCATCACCGAGCACTGCCGAGCACTCGAACAAAGCTCGGGCCGCTGCCACGTACTCAGCGCACCTCAAGCTGCAAGTTGCTCCAAGGGGTGTTTCTATTTCGGGGCCTGAGGAATTGGAACAGGGTTTCGGGGTTTTGGGGTTTAGGGTTTGGGGTTTAGGGTTTGGGGTTTTGGGGTTTATTGTAGGAAGTTATAATCAAGAACCCTCAACAACCGTCCTACTAAATAGCCAAGCTTCTATTACGTGTGCCTTGCTTGATCTAAGGGCCGTCGAGGTTAGACGCTGAACCCTACACCCTCAACCTTAACATCCCAAACCCAAACCCCCCAAAACCCTAAACACCTAAACCCTGAAGCCTAAGCGAAACAGATCTCCTCAAACGCATGGCAAGGGTTTAGGGTTTAGGGTTTAGGGTCTACCCTATGGGTTTAGGGTTTGGGGTTTAGGGCCGCAAAGGCCCCAAGACCTCCCAACGCTCTGAGAAGCTTTGGGTCTAGCAGAATCTCGATCAAACGAGCCTCCTTGCGATGCCATGCGCCCAACATCCCTTAAAGGAGCCCCTCAGCCGGAAACCCTGAACCCTAAACACCTAAACCTCACAATCCTAAACCTGAAAAATCCTGAACCTTATAATCCTGAACCCTGAACCCTTCAAGGAAACCCTAAACCCTAAACCCCTAAACCCCTAAACCCCTAAACCCCTAAACCCCTGAACCCCAAAGCCACTAAGGGCGCCAAGAGGCTCAGAGGAGTGAAGATCGCAAAGACTGTGCCGAAGACCCACAGGCCCATGACGAAGTATTTCGTGTGGCCCTGGACCGAGGTAAGGGTAGGGTTGAGGGTTTAGGGTTTTAGGGTTTAGGGTTTAGGGTTTAGGGTTTAGGGTTTAGGGTTTAGGAGCTTTTGTACTCTTGTATAAGGGTATGAATTACGGTGTGTACAGAGTATTTCGGCTTTGGGATGAAAGGTGTCTATACGGGCTTTGAAAGCTTGCAAAACGGTTCACCATGAGGTTCTTTAAGGGTTGAAAGAGGGGTTCTGCCATCTGCACCCACTTTCCAGGATGTGTATCCAGTATCTAGCATCATCACTCTCTGTCTGTCTCTTACCCTCCCATGCGTTGACACGGCTTCTGACCCTCAACCCTAAACCGTGCAATATAAGGGCCTGGAGAATCAGAAGAGGTTTTTAAGGTATGTTATACTACTACAATTACAAGAAGGAAGGAAGGAATAAGCCCGCGAATTATTCAGGCTCTACATTACGGCAAGCCTTATAAGAAGACTGTGACAGCCAGAACCCCCTTGGGCCACGGCCAGCAATCGCCGTGCCTCAGCACACAAACGCACTGGACACTTCGATCAGACAAAACTGTAAATCCGAAACTCTAACCGATGCGTAAAAGCCGCATCATCTGGCAGAGAGGTAATGCTGTCCGTGTTTGGAAGTGGCAGCACCATTGCTCCCAGGATGCAGGCAGACCTCGGCCTCTACTGAATTCTGCTGGGACTGGACATGCTGTCATCAAGGCTGCACGCCCGCCTATTCTGGCTTGACTGCATAGTATGGGATTCGATTTTCAGTTGTTGGCAGACACTCGAGTTTCGCTGAGCATGACCTTGTGGCTGTGGAGCTAATCTACATCAAAAACCTGGAGCCGTCAGGTACGACTTTAGGGTTTAGGGTTTAGGGTTTAGGGTTTAGGGTTTAGCGACAGTGGACAGATGCTGCCCTCCCAGCAGTCTCTGTGTCTAGATCCCTTATCTCTTACAGAATTCTTGTCGAACCCTTCCAGCTGGAACCCCCTAAACCCTAAACCCTAAACCCTAAACCCTAAACCCTAAACCTTTGCAGAGGCCTCACTTAGGAACCCTAGACCTGAAACCAAGAGCACCCCGAAACCAAAAATCCGAAACCCTAACCCCGAGACCTGTACCGCGAAAAATCCAAAACCCTGTACCCTGAAGGGTGTAGGGTTTAGGGTTTAGTGTTTAGGACTCTAAACCCTAAACCCGAAATCCTGATGCCCTTAACCCTATTAAAAACCCTGAGAAGGCCCTGACCAAGCCGCAGGGACCTGGATCGTCTGCGCCACCTGTGCCGCGACCTCCTCGGTTTCGGACTCGATCACCGAAAACTGCTCCTTGCCGTTCAGGGTACCGTCAGTGTTTGTGTTGGGGGTTCAGGCTTTAGGGCTGAGGGTTTTGGTTTAGCACAGTTTTATTACGGTTTGAGGTTTCGGGAGTTGGGGCCGAGAGACAGCAAACAAATACCTAAACCCGAAACCCTACAGCGACCTAACTACCGGAATGACCTTGGAAACTCAGAACACACGAGGATGAGAGGCTTGCGTCAAAAGCACGACTTGCGCTACTCTATATTGTTGGGGCCTTAATAGTGCGGATCCGGGTCCTTTAGGGCTCCTTCAAGGGATACCGCTATACGGGTATAGGGGCCTTAATAATTGGAAAAAGGTCTTGGGGTACATTGTAGGATAACCATAGTAAGGAACCCCAACATAGTATTGCTAATTACTCAGGCCCTTATACTCCTCTACACCGTGTTCTACGCTACTGCAAGTTGCCCGCGATCCCAGCCTCCACCTTGAGCACCGAGCGTAGCAGGTGAAGAGGACTGTAGCCACCTTTACCTCGGAAAATGAGAACCCTAAACCCTTAACTACCCTGCCACTGCTGCTGCTGCTGCTCCAGCTACTACTACTACTACTACTACTACGACGACGACGACGACGACGACCACCGCTGCAGCTGCTGCTACTGCTACAGCTGCTGCTACTGCTACGACTACAAACTCAGGAACATACACGAATGGATTGGTACCTTGCTCGAGCGAAGTTCCTGAGCCGCAGACCCTCAACCCCAGATACTAAACCTTCAGCCCCAAACCATTATCCCTAACCCTTAAACCCTTAACGCAGCCCTCAACATGCACTTCTAGGGCCTTAGAGAACTCTGTTTAATCAGAAGGGATTTGGGGTACATTCTATCAGAAACAACCCGAAACCCTAAACCCCTAAACCCTAACACATGGGACCGTGAACTTCTTGTTCAGACTCCTATAGAACGCTGAGTGCTTCGCCCGGCGCTGGCTTTGCGGGGGTGCCTCGCCCCGCAGCGCCCCGCGCGCCCCTCGCCGTCGACGGCTTTTGCGTTCTCCACCCCTGCGAACCTAGCGATGGGTCTAGGGTTCAGGGATACGGATACCACCAGAAACGGCGTTTCAGAAGGTGGGGGCCCGAATAAACCTCCTCTTCCGAAGATCCTTCAATGAGGTACTTATGTTTTCAACGACCCTAACAGCAAACCCGAAGGCCTAAAACAAACCCAAAACCTTGAACCGTGTACCCTATAGCCCTCACATCGCAGAAAGTGATGCTGTGAACCTGAGGAGCAAGCGAGTCTCGTGGCTCCGTAGCACAGCTGATTCAACAGCTTCTGCTTTGGCCTGCAGTTTATTGTCAGTCACCCTAAACCTAAACCCTCAACTCTAAATCCTAAACCCTAAACCCTAAACCCTAAATCCGAGGGGTGGAGTTACGAGTTTTGCTTAAGGCACAGCGGCCTTTCTCCATTCGCACAAGTCTCGGGGCCAGGCTTCGAGTCTCAAGATACTGTAGGGGCCTTAATACGTTCTGTTTTTTTGTTGAGCGCCTTTTTCCTCCATCCCTTGCGGTCTAAAGGAACGTCTGTTTCAGACGAGACGAACTTATGCCGTTCTGGTTTAGGGTTTAGGGTTTAGGGTTTAGGTTTTAGGGGTTTGATGCTATAAACCTGCATTACCCCTAATACGGAATATTCCATAATTCCCATAGTTTAGGGTCCTGAGGGTAATGCGGGATTTATCTCATCAACAGTAACTAGAATAGGGTTTTCGGGTCCTTTCTACGACAATTATGCTACAATTACAACAATAAGGACCCCCCCCCGCAATCTTACATAATGTAGGGGCCTTAAAAGCTAGAATAGGGTTTTGGGGTCTATGATACTATAGCTATGTTAAAAAAACGCCCAAAAATAGTCTAGGTAAATATTTAGGCCCCAACATTCCACGGCATCACGAAAAAGGTGAGCCTCCGGTCGCAACATGCAGCCAGGCAGTTTACAGACATGCACTTACCTGTGGTCACGTTTAGGGTTTAGGGTTTTAGGGTTTTAGGGTTTTAGGGCTTTAAGGTTTTAGGGTTTAGGGTTTAGGGTTTAGGGTTTAGGGGTTTAGGGTTTAGGGTTTAGTTTACAGACATGCACTTACCTGTAGTCACTGTAGTCGAGAGCAGCCACATTCACAGCCACCGGGCTTGCAACACAGCAGTGGCGACTTAGGCACCGGCTTGAGCATGGCTGCATTCCTCCTTGTCCGACATGAACCCTAAGCCCTAAGCCCTAAAACCCTACACCCTATAACCCTAAACCCAAAGCCCTAAGCCCTAAAACCCTACACCCTCTAAGTCCGAAGCGCAGTTGGGGAGATGAGGTCAGCATGCATAGTATCCGTCCGAGGGTTCCCTGGTGTCACGAATAGAATCGGATACCCAGAGACACTATTCTGGTCATTCAGAATATGATTGCTCAGGGTTCCTTAGTGTCGTTGCTATAGCTAATCTGGCATCATGTACCCCAAACCTTAAGTCCTACACCCTAAGCCCTAAACCCTAAACCCACTTAAATCCTACACCCTAAACCCTAAACCCTAAACCCTATACGGGGCATGCACCCTACCCGCTAGCCCCGCGTCTCCTCGGCGGCACGGATCTCTACTGTAGCAGCAGGTGAGGGCCTGAGTACAGTCTGCATGGTAGCAGTAGTAGCAGTAGTAGTAGTAGTAGTAGTAGTAGTCGTCGTCGTCGTCGTTGTCGTCGTCGTCGTAGTAGCAGTAGTAGAAGTAGAAGAAGTAGTAGTAGAAGTAGTAGTAGTAGCAGTAGTAGTAGTAGTAGTAGTTGTTGTTGTTGTAGCAGTAGTAGTAGTAGTAGTAGTAGTTGTTGTTGTTGTTGTTGTAGTAGTAGCAGCAGTAGCAGTAGTAGTAGTAGCAGTAGTAGTAGTAGTAGTAGTAGTAGTAGTAGCTGTAGGAGAAGTAGTAGTAGTAGTAGTAGTAGTAGTAGTAGTAGTAATAGTCGTAGTGATAGTGGTAGCGGTAGTGGTGGTGGTGGT